TTTTTTTCTGCTGAGTAGTACTCCATTGTATAAATGTACCACATTTTCTCTATCCATTCTTCAGTTGAGGGGCATCTAGGTTGCTTCCAGGTTCTGGCTATTATAAACAATGCTGCAATGAACAGGGTTGAACATATGTCTTTGTTGTATGAACGTGCATTATTTGGGTATATGCCCAAGAGAGAAATGGCTGGATCTTGAGGTAGACTGATTCCCATTTTTTCTGAGCAACCGCCATATTGATTTCCAGAGTGGTCTTACAAGTTCGCATTCCCACCAGCAATGGAGGAGTGTCCCTTTTTCTCCACATCCTCTCCAGCATAGATTGTCATTGGTATTTTTTATTTTAGCCATTCTGACAGGTGTGAGGTGGTATCTCAGAGTTGTTTTGAGTTGTATTTCTCTGATGGCCAAGGATTTTGAGCACTTAAGTGTCTTTCAGCCATTTCATATTCCTCTGTTTAGAATTCTCTATTTAGTTCTGCACCCCACTTTTTAATTTCATTGTTTGGTGTTTTGGTGGCTAGCTTCTTGAGATCCTTGTATATTTTGGAAATCAGCCCTCTGTCAGATGTGGGGTCAGTGAAGATCTTTTCCCATTCTGTGGGCGGTCGTTTTGTCTTACTGTTTCCTTTGCCTTGCAGAAGCTTCTCAGTTTCAGAAGGTCCCATTTATTAATTGCAGACCTCAGTGTCTGTGCTACTGACTCCTACACCTACTTTTGAATATTTATTTATTCAGGTACACTAATTACTGAAGTATTATTTTAGATTGTATGATTCTTTTTAGCATGCCTACACACGTACTAGTGTTTTCCACAAGTGTACATTTATACCTTATATAACATTTATACCTTATGAATTCATAAGCATAAAGGATTACATACATGCACAAAAGGATTAAATAGAGTGTAATGATAAAAAATGAGCATCTTTGTACTCACCATCGGAAAAGAACAATATCTAATGGCTCTGAAACCTCTGGTGACCTTTTCCCTGTAACTTTTTTTTTGATAATTTTAATTATCTTTTTATTTGCATTAACATATTTTTTCCTTTTTAAATTTTTAATTAGAAACAAGCTTGTTTTACAAGTCAATTCAAGTACCCTCTCCCTCCCCTCCTCCCCTGCTCCCACAGACCCCCTATCCCATCCCCATTCTGCTCCCCAGGGAGGGTGAGGCCTTCCATGGGGTATCTTCAGAGTCTGTCATAGGTCTAGGCCCTCCCCTATGCATCTAGGCTGAGAGTATCCCTCTTTGTGGAGTGGGCTCCCAAAGTTCATTCCTGTACTAGGGATAAATACCTATCCACATACTTCCCTGGAAGTACCAGAGGCTCCATAGATTAACTGGATCTCCAAACTGACAACCTCATTCACGGGGTCTGGAAAAGTCTTATGCTGGTTTCCCAGCTATCAGTCTGGGGTCCATGATCTCCACCTTGTTCAGGTCAGCTGTTTCTGTGGGTTTCTCCAGCCTGGTCTTGACCCCTTTGCTCATCACTCCTCCCCCTTCTCTGCAACTAGATTCCAGAGTTCAGCTCAGTATTTAGCTGTGGGTGTGTCTGCTTCTGCTTCCATCAGCTACTGGATAAAGGCTCTAGATGGCATATAAGGTAGTCATCAACCTCATTATTGGAGAAGGGCATTTAATGTAGCCTCACGAATATTGCTTAGATTGTTAGTTGGGGTCAACCTTGCATATCTCTGGACATTTCCCTAGTGCCAGAATTCTCTTTAAACCTATAATGGCTCTTTCTATTAGGGTATCTCTTTTCTTGCTCTCCTCTATTCTTCCTGACTAAATCTTCCTGCTCTCTTGTCCTCCTCTCCTCTTCTCTTTCTCCTAACTCCCTCTCCTCTCCCCCCATGCTCCCAATTTGACTCAGGAGATCTTGTCCCTTTCTGCTTCACTAGGGGAACCATGTATGTCTCTCTTAGGGTCCTCCTTGTTTCCTAGCTTCTCTGGCGGTGTGGATTGTAGGCTGGTAATCCTTTGCTCTATGTCTAAAATCCATATATGAGTGAATATATAGCATGTTTGTCTTTCTGTGACTGGGTTACCTCACTCAGGATGGTTTCTTCTAGTTCTATCAATTTTCCTGAGAATTTCAGGATTCCATTGTTTTTTTTTTCCCACTGAGTAGTACTCCATTGTGTAAATGTACCACATTTTCTTCAACCATTCTTCAGTTGAGGGGCATCTATCTAGGTTGCTTCCAGGTTCTGGCTATTACAAATAATGCTGCACACTTGTAAGAGTGTGCAACTTTTGGGTATATGCCTAAGAGTGGAATTGCTGGATCTTGTGATTCCCATTTTCTTGAGGAATCTCCATACTGGTTCCAAAGTGGCTGTACAAGTTGGCACTCCCACCAGTATTTTTATGCATTTTAATTTTTTACAAGTACTATATATAAAAAACATATGGTAACTGTGAAACAGAATGAGCATATACATGTTAACACACTAGTAAGTGAGAAAAAGATATGAAACAACTAGCTATAGACTGAAGCCATTATTGTTGACTTTATTACAATAGTTACAAACAATATTTTTGTGGTATACAATCATCACAATTACTCAAATTATATACAAATAGGTATTTATACAAGTCTACATAAAAAATTAAACACCCCCCAATCACATTATCAACAAGATTTTTTCTAAAAGTTATGGCCAGTAACAAAAAAATTCACAGTTACTCTTCAAATATTTTAAATGCAGTAATCATATTGCACATAAAACAATCATAAATTTTATGCATATATTTTAATGTAGTTTTCCACAAAATTTACATTTTCATGCAATACTTTACTGTATACAGAATGGTAGAACTAGAATAAACAGATTAACTTACAAACTGTTACAATGGCCACAAAATTAGAATTATTTTAAAGTAATACTTAAAAGTTATGCTGAAAAAAAAAATCCAGTGTAATAAAACTTAACGGATATAATCAGGTTTTTCACAGATTAAGCTACTATTCTAGTGTTCTTCTTTGTCTTTTCCTTTCTTTTCCTTTTCATCCTGCAGTGCAGTGCCAAGTTTTTTTATGAGAACGGACAGCACCTTGTCCAGGGGATCCATCACTCCTCTCTGAAGCCATTTGGGAATAGTAGTCCTGGCATGGTGAAAGCCCAATTTTTGAAGAATATAATCAACACCTACTGGATCAATCTTTCTTCCAGTCCAAGAAATTAATCTAAAATAGTAATTAGAAATGGTCATTGTCAAGGTATATTATGTATCTGCATAGTCCTGGAGGTAGGTCCATGAATATTACTGCACTCCCTTAATAGAGTCTGGGTAAACCACTTCAGCAGTGTATTTGAATACATGAGTCTAAAAGCCTTAGATTCACTGTAATTGTTTTCTGAAAATAATTTATTGGTGATGATAACTCTCTGACATATTATATACATTGATAATAATAATGGAATTCCAGTGTGATTAATTTATTTTGGGCCTGTTACAAGGTCATTTTAAATATTTTAAATGACAACTGTTTAAAAGATTCCATAAGCTGTAGTTGTAATAAGGCAAAAGCTAAGATTCACTGAGTGCTATGTGCTGAACATGAAAGGAGAACATTTTCTCCTTGATCTTGACATTTCCTTTCATGTGGAAGATAGGTTATTGGTGACTTACTTCTTGGAATTTCTGTCTATACTGAAGATTTAGCTGATTAGCAAGTTAACAGAGGAAGTGAGTAGTGTGTAAATGTAAAGTACTTCCTTTTTTTGGGGGGGGAGGTGGGACACTACTCATTTTGGTCTGTTCTTGCCTCATTTCAAGGGCTTGAAACAGGTTAGCCCCAGGCGCTGAGTGCTACCTGTGGCTAGGTGAGTACACAGGTGGGTATTACCATTTTTTTTTTTTTTAATTACATGAGAAAACTAAAGAAGGAAAAGAAGGAAGGTCTTTGGGCTTAATTATTGAACTACTCAGAGGTAAAGCCAAGCTTGGAGCCAGAGCTGGTAATAATATTCTTTGGCATTCTACACTATTCATTGTTTAGTCATGAGTTTGCTGAAAATGGAATATAGTAAATGTTGTAGAATATTATTTTAAGGTGTGTTACATTTGTTTATGCTATGGAATATTTGTTTAATGATGCAAAGATGTGTTGCATTCCTTTATGTTGCATTTGTTTAATTCTGTGAAGCTGTGTTACCGTGCCTGTCTAATTGATCTAATAAAGAGCTGAACTGCCAATACCAAGGCAGGAGAATGGATAAGAGGGGCTAGCAGGCAGAGAAAATAAATAGAAAAAGAGGGAAGCAGCAAGAGAACAAGGAGAGGAAGATGCTATGGGCCAGCCACACAGTGTAGCCAGCCTCAGAGTAAGAGTGAAAGGAAGATATACAGAAGCAAAAAAAGGAGAAAGCCCAAGACAAAAGGTAGATGGGATAAGTTAAGTTAAGGAAATCTGGCTAGAAAGAAGGCAAGCTAAAGCTGGGCATTTATAAGTAATAATAAGCCTCCTTGTGTGATTTATTTGGGAGGTGGCTGTGATCCCCCCAAACAGTAAAGAACAAAGAGCCAAAGAATAAGAGAACAACCAATAACAAGTGACATTTTTTTTTGAATTAGAAACAAGATTTTTTTACATGACAATCCTAGATCCCTTCTCCCTCCCGTCCTCCCCTACCACCCTCCCCACCCAACTAAAACCCTACCTATCACATATCCTTTCTGTTCCCCCTGGATGGTGAGGCCTTCCATAGAGTGTCATCAGAGTCTATCATATACGTTGGGATAGGGCCTAGGCCCACCGCCATGTGTCTTGGCTCAGAGAGTATTCCTCTATGTGGAATGGGCTCCCAAAGTCCACACCTATGTAGGGATAAGTACTGAACTACTACAGGAGGTCCCAGAAATTTCGGGGGTTTCCTCACTGAAACCCATGTTCCTGGGGTCTGGATCAGTCCCATGCTGGTATCCCAGCTATCAGTCCGGGGAGCAAGAGCTCCCCGATGTTCAGGTCAGCTGAACAAGCAACTTTTTATATTCACATGAAACTTCATTTATAGTCAATTTAAATACACTCTAAAGCACTTAATTCCATTATAATTTAGATTTACAAATCTAAAATATATCTTCCAAATACTTTACTCACACTGACCCAATAGCAATGTTAAGATTGCTCATAATGAAGTGTTCTGTTGATTTGGTTATGGCAAATGTTATTGAATATATATTACCAACAAGCCACAGCTGTACAAGACAAAATTCTGTTGTTTTGGAGTTATTTTGTGGTACAAATATGTCTGAACAATAATTTAATTTAAATAAATATATCATATTGCAGAATATTGGGCTGGAGTCCATTTTTGGGTACCATCCAAGGATTTGGAAAAGTTACAATTTGAATAATAAAGTACATGAAAAACAATAGAAAGGATGTTAGTCAAACAACATACAAAGCAGGTACCACTAATTATAATAACCATTGTAATTAAAATTAGAAAATGCTTTTGAAGATTTGATATGATTTGAGGATTTGATACTTGGTTATGTTATGACTATGGAAAAAAGTGACCCATTAAAAGAAACTATTATTGGCTAGCATTAAATTTAGCATTGTAGGCATGGTTTTATATTGTTTAGCATGCAAAAAGATCCTGTGATACCATGCAACTGTTATAATATCCAGTAGGAAACTCTGACGGCTACTTATTAATGATGTATGATTACTGTACTGGGTGGTTTTGTGTGTCAACTTGACACAAGCTAGTGTCATCAGAGAGGAAGGCGCCTCAGCTGAGGAAATGCCTCCATGAGATCCAGCTGAAGGCATTTTCTCAATTAGTGATCTGTGGGGAGGGCCTAGCCCACAGTGGGCGGTACCATCCCTGCTGCTACTGGTCTTGGGCTCTGTAAGAAGGTGGGCTGAGCAAGCCATGTGAAGCAAGCCAGTAAGTAGCTCCCCTCCACGGCCTCTGTATCAAATCCTGCCTCCAGACAGGATCCTGCAATGTTTGAATTCTTGTTCTGACTTCTGTGGTGATACCTTTTTTGTACAAATAAAGTGTGTCTGAAGATCAGAGAGAGGTTGGAGCTTGCCACTAGCTAACTACAGAGGCCAAGCAATGGTGGTATATGCCTTTAACCCCAGTACCAGGGAGGTGGAGACAGGAAGTGAGATGGCCTTCTCTTTCCTACTTAAGTTGCTGCTTGTTGGGTGTGGTCACAGCAATGGGAAAAATGACCAATACATAAAATTAGTACTGAGAATGGGGTTGCTGCTGTGATAATCTTTACCATGTGTTTTTTGGGCCTTTGGAACTGATTTACTAGAGGATGTGGAAAAGTTTGGAACTTTGGGCTAAAAAAGCCCTTCAATGCTACAGAGTTTAATGGATGGAAGTGTAGAAATTGAGGATCTCCCCCACCCCCAAAGGGAGGGCAGTGAAGTCTAGCTCACGAGGGGGGTGACTGTTGGGAACTGGGCTAGAGGCTATTCCTATAGTCTATTGGCTACATTCTGTCTATGTTGAGTGGGTCTGAATTAAAAAGTAATGGGCTAATCTGTTTCATGGAAGAAATATTATAGAAGAATAGTATTCAGGTTACTCTTACCAGGTGTATAGTAAGAGTGAGCAACAAATGGAGAAGAAAAATCTGCAGTTTGATAGAGAAACAAGTTTAAAATTGTTTTAATTAAAATTAAATGTTTAAATTAAAATTAAGACCAGTGCTAAGAAAGTGGCTGCTGGGTCGTGGTGGTGCATGCCTTTAATCCCAGCACTCGGGAGGCAGAGGCAAGCGGACCTCTGTGAGTTCGAGACCAGCCTGGACACAGGGGAGAGAGGAGAGAGAGGGGAGAGGAGAGAGAGAGAGGAGAGGAGAGGAGAGGAGAGGAGAAAGAGAGGAGAAAGAGAGGAGAGGAGAGAGGAGAGAGAGTGGAGGAGAGGGGAGAGCGAGGGGAGGAGAGGGGAGAGAGAGGGGAGGAGAGGGGAGAGAGAGGAGGAGAGGGGAGGGGAGGGGAGGGAAGGGGAAAGGAGAGGAGGAGGAGGAGAGAGAGAGAGAGAGAGAGAGAGAGAGAGAGAGAGAGAGAGAGAGAGAGAGAGAGAGAGAGATTGAGAGATTCTTTAACACTGTTAAAGAAACTCTTTTGGAGCAATTAGAAAGACCTTACCCATCACAAGTTCCAACTTAAGAAAATGCAAATTCATTTGTAAGGAGAAAGCTTCAACTGAGAATGTTGCCAAAGGGGTTCCCTAATGAGAGAACAACTGCCTAGGATGTTTCTCCAAGGACCAGCACATAGAGGTTGATTCCTGTCTGATGGAGAATGTACTTCTGTGTATGTTTCTCTTATTGAATAATGAATAAAACACCAATTGGCTGATTGGTCAGGCAGGAAGTGACTTAACTGGGCAGAATCAGGACATAAACAGAGACAAACAAGAAATCGCTCTCTTCTCTGCCCCCCCCCCCGCCCGAAAAAAAAACCCACATAGATGTTATATTAGTTACAAAGCTGTTGGTTGTTGGCTTGGGTTTCCATTGGCTAGCTCTGTCTTAATTATTAACCCATAACTATAAATCTAAGTATTTCCATGTGGTCTTATCTTACCGGGGAATGCCGGACTTGCAACTCCTTTGCCTACCACATGATAACTGCTCCGTCTGACCAATCAGTGTTTTACTCATTAACCAATAAGAGAAACATATACACAGAAGAACATTCCCCATCACCTGTTCAATGGGGCAGACTACATTTTCAGCTAGCAGCAGTATTTGGCAGCACTGTTTACATGGTATTGTTTTTATAGGCAAAAATGATGCAAGGATGGGGGAATCACAGAAGTTTGTGACAAGGTTCCTGGGGCCACTGAAGCCAGATAACATGTAGCATTATCAGAATCTGCAAAGAATCGCCAAGAGTTTAATGCATGAATCTGTGAAAGTGAAGTGTACATAGGAGAGGAAAGCCTGGATGACAGAGATGCCAGGATCACGGAATGTCTCCTGAGAAAAGCTACAGACATGAAGAACTGACCCAAGAGAGAGGTTATATGTATTGCAGGAGGCAGAGCTGGAAGAATGGAGCCACTGAAGATCTTTGGAAGCTAGGTTTCTGCCCTGTTGTGCTTCAGTACTGCTTTAGCCCAATCTTTCCTTGCTATGCCCCTATTCTTCCATTTGTAACAGGGAAGGTTTTCTCTGTGCCATTATATATTGGAAGTATTAACTTGTTTTTTTTATTGTACAGTGGCTCAGAGTTAAAGAGAGTGCCTTGAATCTCAAAAGAGACTTTGGATTATTAACTAGGGTTGGAGTTATGAACACTTTTGAAGGTGAACAAATGTATTTTTCATTATGGGATGGCTATGAGCCTGTTGCGGATGGAGTAGACATTGTGGTTTGAACATAAACTATGTCCTCCATGGGCTTGGTACCCAGATGGTGGCACTGTTGAAGGTTTTGGAACGAACCTGTAGGAAGTGTGGGTTCCTGGGGGCAGGCTTTGAGATGTTATAGCTTGGTCCCATTTTCTGTCACTTCTCTGGTTCTGATTATGGATACACTGATTAGTTGCCTCATGTTGTGCCACCAGGATGGACTGACTGTATCCCCTCTTAAACTATGAGCTAAAATAAAACCTCCCTTCAGCTTCTTGTCAAGCATTTGGTCACAGAAATTGGAACAACAGTCAGTACAGTAACTTTTGACATGTTGAGGTTTGCACATTCACTTCTTACCTAAGAGTAGGCTCCAGATGCCATGTGTTGCACATAAAATCTCTCCAATCCACAGTGGTGTAAGTGATGCTGTCTTCTCTATCTCTGTCAGAGGAATTATCATCATGTATAATAATTGAACTTTTTTGTCCTGGTCGAGTAGATAGAATCCGAGGTGGAAAAATGGCTACAATGGGGAAAAATTATAAAACCAGAATTTATAAATTTTAAAACATTTTAAGAACCACCATCGGCTCTATCATTTTATATATTACCATGCCAAGCCTCATTTAATTACACCCGTTAAAAGGTATTTTAAAATAAGCTAAGAGAAAACACCAATTTTTAGTATTCCTGAGAAAAGCAAGGTTGTCACTGTGGCAAACTGTTGAGCTCACATATGTGACAGCAGGTGTAGGGCACTGTAATCAACAGAGGTGTATTCCTAAACAATGACTAGCAGTTGGGTATGCTGGTCACATCTATAACCCCAGCTGACTAGGAGACTAAGGAGACAGCCGGTTTCAAGCCAGCCTACAGTTAAGAAAGAACTTGTCTCAAAATAAAAATTTAAAGAAAGGCCAGGGGTTATTAATTCCAAAGTAAAATACTTTTTTACAATATCTTGAGCATGGGAAAAAAGGTTGTAACCTGATGACTTTTAAAAGTTTAGTTGGACTGTTAGCTAATATAGCATAAACTTCATTTGTAGTATGTAATCAGTGCTTTTTATATGTTAATGGCTGTATAGTTATGAAAACAGTGTCAATAAGCAAATTTTTGTATAAAATGTTTTCTTCATGGTGCTGAAGTATGCCTTATAAAAGAAAAGTCTTTTTAAAGTTTTTTTTTTGGGGGGGGTTGGTTTTTCAAGACCGAGTTTCTCTGTGGATTTGGAGGCTGTTCTGGAACTAGCTCTTGTAGACCAGACTGGTCTTGAACTCACAGAGATCCGCCTGCTTCTGCCTCCCAAGTGCTGGGATTAAAGGCGTGAACCACCACCACCTGGCAAGACCAATACAATATTTTATGAAATGTTAAATGTTTTATATAACATCTAAGAGAAATAAGTGCAGACATGGGCAGACTGGAAATGAAGCCTAAATGTTGGTTTGCACAGAGCAGGGTAACTAGTGGCTACTACACTTCAGTGCTAGGACATGAAGGGTTCATGCTTTGGGTAGGTGCGACACACAGTGCTTTTTGAGATATGTAGGAGCTTGAATTGAGGCTTGATATTACTCTTCCCACCATCACTATAGATTTTACTCTCACTTGATTTTTGGCACATTTTTGATCAACAGTAATGGAAGAGTAGTCCAATCTGTTATGTTAGCTTTGTACTATTTCAACATAGTCTTTTTGATAATCTTTTAGTGTTGATATATCTGCAAGGTAAATTTAGCATTTTATTCATGATAAAATAAAATAGTTTTATAGTATGCCCTGAACAAGTTATTTTTTCCAAGCTACATTTAGTAAGAATCACACGTAAAACTGAGCCAGGTAGAGAGGTGAGGGCTGTGTGTGGGGGTGGGGGAGGGGGTGGGGGATGGGGGT